CCCACACCCACACAAACACACACACGCACACACACACACACACACACACACACACACACACACACACACACACACACACACACCAAAAAGAAAGAAAAACAGAAGTGCAACCCATCTGCTAACTTGTACTCTGCGGGTTCTCCTTGGGTTACAAGTTGACTTTAGAATTGTAACCTAATTCTAAAATATTCTTGGAAAATTAACTCTTGCTTGCCAACAGATTAGTAAGCAGCTCTCTGAGGAGTACGAAAGGATTGTCAATCCTGAGAAGGCCACAGAAGACACTAAACCTGTGAAGATCAAGGAGGAACCTGTGAGTGACATCACGTTTCCTATCAGTGAGGAGCTGGAAGCTGACCTTGCTTCTGGAGACCAATCCTTACCAATTGGAGTCCTCGGGGCTCAGAGTGAGCGCTTCCCATCCAACCTGGAGGTGGAGGCTTCGCCACAGGCTTCGAGTAAGGAACAAAGTGCATTCGTTTTGATTCTAGTTCTGTCCATCTGAGCGCTTACCGACACTTTAGAATCAATTTAGAATGTGGGAGAAAAGCAGCATGCATGGGCAGAAGGAAAGTTGCTGGAACAAACAGCTGTGGTGAATCCTGTACAATACACTCTGGTGTAAGTAGCTGTTTCCTTGGTAAAGATGTCTAACAAATTGCAGACACAAGAGAATGAAATTGTTCTAACCTGTTCAGTGAGCTGGTCTGTTGTAGGTTATAGCTGTGATGACATAAGGAACCTGGACAATCGGCCCCTTACTTCTTTATTTTCAGGCAATTATATATGTATTTGTTCGTTTAGTTGTTGAGACAGGGTCTTGCCCTATATTCTAGGTTGGTCAGAAATTCAAGTCCTGCTACTTCAGCCTCCCTCGTGCTGGGATTACTGTACTGTACTGCACATTGCCTGCTTCACCACCTGAGTCAGTTAAATTGCAAATTAGTTTGGATACTTATTTACAAACATAAATGCATGTTGGTGGCACACGCCTTTAATCCCAGCACTTGGGAGGCAGAGGCAGGTGGATCTCTGTGAGTTCAAGGCCAGCCTGGTCTACCGAGCTAGCTGCAGGACAGTCTCCAAAACAATACAGAGAAACCCTGTCTGGGAAGAAAAAAAAAAAAAAACCTGCCATAAATGCATAAGAAATATAAATATCAAATCCTCAAATGTGACCCAAACAAAATGAGAACAGTGTTAGACATACTGAAGAGAGGCTTTTCACCAAGGAAGACAGTTAAAAGCAGAGCTGCATTACCAGAATAGAGAAGTAGGGGACATCGAGGACCATGTCTGTTGTCAGGAGGGACAGGCAGGGAACTGATATCAGCATCCTGTAGTGACCATAGTATTCAAAATGCAGGAGAGGCCCAGAGAGATTCTCAAAAGGCAGGAAAATAAGACCACCCCATGAAAGAAAGGAAAGGAAATTAGGGAGATGGCCCAGTGGATAAGAGAACTTGTGCAAACATGAGGATCTGAGTTTGAATCCCCAGCACCCATGTAAAAGGAATGGATGGTTGTGTGTGTGCCTATAATTTTGACATTGGGAAATAGACACAGGTGATCCTAAAGGCTTGCTGGCCAGCCAGCCTTGGGAAAACAGTGAGTTTCCAGGTCAAGGCAGTAAAAGAGGAACAAAAGAAGATACTACCATCCTTCTCTGGCTTCTGCATGCATATGGATGAGCACACATACCTACAGGGTTATTTGTATAACACACACACACACACACACACACACACACACACACACACACACACACACTCACATAAACTACCTGAGCAAGGACTGGAACTGTATGTACCTTTGAACATAATTTACTGCAGTTTTACTTTCCTGGTATAGAGAAAATGGTGGTGGGTAAGGTGAAGGAAAGAAAGATGAAAAGTTGAAAGGAAGTTGGTAATTGGGAGTGACATATTGAAACAGACTAACAATGACATCCTCAATCCATGTGTGGAACGGCACGAAGGATGCTAGTCAGCCCTGGATGGGATATTCAGTTGTTCTCTTTGGCTCAGCACAGGGTTCATGCTCTTTCTCTTCATTTCTAGGTGCAGAGGTAAATGCTTCTCCTCTTTGGAACCTGGCTCATGTGAAAATGGAGCCTCAAGAAAGTGAAGAAGGCAATGTGTCTGGGCATGGGGTATTAGGCAGCGATGTCTTTGAGGAACCAATGTCAGGCATTAGTGAAGCTGGAATCCCTCAGAGCCCTGAGGACTCGGACAGCAGCTATGGCTCCCACTCCACTGATAGCCTCATGGGGTCCTCCCCTGTTTTCAACCAGCGCTGCAAGAAGAAGATGAGGAAGATTTAACTGCAAAGGACATTTCCAGTCCAGACTTACAACATCAGCAGAAAACCTTGATATTTAGAGTGTTTCCATAAATAGTGATTGGACTTTAATTCTTAAATACAGTGGGCTTTCCTAATTTCAGAGAAAAGGCTCTTAACCTAGTTACATTTCACTTTAGAATCATTTTTGTACTTTTTCAGAACAACTAAGCCACTATTTACAGACGACTGTGATACTGGCAGTAATCAGACCAAAGCCCTGTCCCCAGCTGTTCTTTTACTGTGGGACAACATGTTTCTTAGCTCCCCTCAGCCATCTCTCTGACACAGTTGAGAAGAATCATGCTACCCTGATGTTCCCTGCAGAGGTGCAAAGCTGAGATGTTTGCTTAAACATCAAAGCTTGCACAGATTCACGTAAATAGATGCCATTATAGACATCAGGTTTTCATTAATTTATTCTGGGTCAAGCTACTGGAAATCCAGTAGTAATATAGGAAATAGCTAAGCATAACAAAGGTCATGTTCCAAAACTATTTTTGCTACTCAAGCCTCTTATAAAACGAGAGCCCTGTAGTGACAGCCATTTTCCTTATGCAGACAGCTCTTCCCCACAATTCTTCCTTTTCTAGGTTACCCAGCCTCATCCTTTCTACTTTTCGAATGCTTTCTGCTGACATAGACTTTCAAATATTTTTTCCATGTACATCTTCCAACTGCTCATTTTTTCCTTTGTGAAGGATACAAAACAGGCCCTGCTACGGTTGCAGGATGGGCAGCCTTTGGTTTGTTTTAGGTTGTTCTTTTTTGTTTTTGTTTTTGTTTTGTTTTTTTTTAAAGACATTTGAGGAGCCAGAGAAATGGCTCAGTGGGTGAAGGCACTTGCAACTTGAGTTCAATCCCTGGGACCCACATGGTGCAAGAGGAGAACAAAGACTAACTTCTCCAAGTGGTCCTTTGGCCTACACACATGCCATAGTGCATGCCTGGGCACACACACAAATAAATTATTTTTGAAAAAAGTCATTTGACTTATTCCAGTTATTTAATTCTCTGACCATTTCATACATGTGCATGGTTCCCTTCTTCCTAACAAGACACACACACACACCCATCTTTCATGTGTGACCCAGAGTTTATCAGGGTTGCCTCAAGCATGGGCAACAACTTACTGGAGCAAGAGCAACTTAGCAGTAGCTACCTCACTGAGGCAAAGGACACCCCCTCCTTAACAGGCCCTCAGAGGGGTGGGGGCAGACCTATCTTGTGTAGTCTTCTATAGATAACCACTGCTGCAGAGTTCATGAGTGCAGTGGCTACCTCATAGCCAGAAGGTATCTCTTTGCTTCCCATCTCCCATTGTCTGGTTCTTAAATTCTCACCCCTTCATATGATGTTCCCTGAGCATGGGGGAGGGGTGGTTGGTATAGATGTCTTAATTAGCACTTCACCATCACTTACTCTCCACACTTGGGTCAGTTACAGGTTTCTGCATTGACTGATGCCCACTGCAATAGGCTCCAGTGAAGGTCAAGCACAGCACTGATGTCAAATGGTAAACGAGTTTAGACCAAAGGATGGGTGTGTTCCCTTCCTCAAATGCCAAAACAAGGTTAGGGGTGAGCTCCCTGTGTTTCAGGGTTTATTAGGTGCATGTGTGCTAGTACATGATATGTGTGGGGTATGTATGGGGAGGCCAGAGATAACTGTGTGCAGTCAGTTCTCTCTTCTACCTTCACACAGGCTCCAGGGACTGAACACATGGCATCAGGTTGGCATAGCAAGTGCCTTTAGCCCACTAAACCATCACACCATCCCAGTGTCCAGGTGTTTAAAGACAGTCACTTCACATACCCTAGACAGGTGTCCTACAGTCCTCCTGCCTCCTGAAGTTATAAATATTTTAATGTTTTATGAATTTGCAAATTAATCCTTAACACTCTTAAAACCTATCCTGTTTTTTGATATTGGTTTTCATGAATGAAGTGGCCAACAAGCAGCTGGTGTATGAAAAGTGTTAGTTCCCAGAGGTGGTCTGGGATCCACAGATAGGTCCTCTTTTTTTCTTTCTCTTTAAGACAGGGTCTCACTATGTAGCCCTGACAGGTCTCAAACTCAAAGAAGCCCACCTGTCTCTGCCTCCCAAATGCTTGGATTAAAGACATGCACCACAACCCCATGACATTGGGCAGAAAGGTCTTAGTTTTTAATAAAGAAAGAAAAAGCTCAGATTTTTAGATCAGTGTTTCCTACTAGGTATAGAATATTGAATAATTACTGATAAAACTCTGTGTTGCTTTGAAACAAAACTGGAAAACAGGCATCAAATCAAGAAAGATAAGGATACTTTGAAAGGCAAGTTATGAGGTTTGGTGGTTGATTCCTCTGGCCTGGGATTAAGTCAGGGGCTGAGTTGGAACAGTGTTTTGAAAGCAGAGCACACCAGTCACCTGGAGGGCTTACTGAACAGCCAGCTGAGCACCCACTCCATCCCGATGAAGCAGATTTGGAGATGTATCAATAATTGAAAACTTTCCTGGCTGATGATCTTACTTCTGGTCCAGAGACTACAGTCTGAGAACCAGGGCGAACCCTTCTAGTTACATATTACTGAATGGACACCTAGCCAAATCCTACAGCACAAACAATGATTTACACTGTTCTAAGTATAATATAAATAGGACATGGTTTTGGAGCTGGTAGGTGAATGCACATGGGAAATTAAACTACACATTACATCCCACCAGACCTGCCTTTAAAGCTCTGCTGTAACTAACAGTGCTGAACCCATTTCTAATTTGAAATCATGACACAAAATTAAAGTTAAAAACTTTATCCAAGTCACCATTTAAGCAGGATTCTTTAGAACGTGTTACCTCATGTGCACACATCTCATATCAGCACTGGCTGCCAAGGGCACCTCACTGCCCCTCTGTTTGATCCGTTCCCCCTTCCATTCTGATTAAAGGACAGCAACTTGAGGTGCAGAGTCAAAAGCACAGTGCTAAAGAGCTGAGTCCACGGGTCCAGCCTAGTCATCTTCAGGATGGAAGGTCTCCCCACCCCATCAGTGCAAAAGTACTTGAGTTCAAATGATGCAGCTTGAAATTTCAGGCTCAATAGTCATCAGCTTCCAGAGTGGTGAGAATACACTTCCTTGCTAAATACCAAGAGAAGCTAACCAAGGGTGGGCATCCACCTGCCAGCTCCACCTTCAACCCTAACTTCATCTAAGTCCTGGTTTCCCCAAAGAAGTTATTATCCTAGAGGAAACTGCTCGACTGCAGCCCTGACTCCCGGAAGGACTTCTCTGCGTGGAGACCCAGCATGTCAGACTTCTAGCAACAAGTGGGACGGTCTACTTGTTTCTCTTCCAGTGTTGTGCCATTGATTCTTGCATGAAGTTCTGAAATGCTGGCTCTTCTCGGCTTTCCTCTGTAACTGCAGGAGGAAGGGATGACTCTTTTAAAACCCTCATGGTACAAGAGAATCAGCACTCCTGTCACCACTCATCAGAAACCACATCTTAAAATTACTTTTCACTTTTTCAAAACAGGGACTCGCTATAGATCCCTAGCTGGCCTGGAACCCCTAGTCCTCCTGTTTCTGTCTCTACCACTGAGGTTACAGGCATGTCCCCCCAACACCCGGCTGAAACTACTTTTAAGGCATTAAGTACTCACACCCTCCATTAATAAAATAGCTTCCAGAAGCATGCCTTATTTATCAAATTGCCAAAACGTGCAGCATCTGAGTCAGAGACCATCCTCTTCATAAATAAGTAAACTGAGGTCTACTCAGGTAGGCAAGAGACAGAAAAATACCTATAGTGATTTACCTGCTGCCTCAGGCACCCAAGAGCTAGGAATAAAGTAGGGAACCACCACATTAGACTGTTAACTACTCAAAACAAACACTCAGGGGCTGGAGACAAGGTTAAGAGCATTTGTTGCTTGTACCCAGCACCCACATGGTGGACTACAACATCTGTACCTCCAGTTCCAGGGGATTTCTGCCCTCTGCAGGGACCAGGCATGCAGGAAGACACTTACATACATAAAGTAAAAATAAATACATCTTTTAAAAAACCCAACATTGCCAAGTGGTGGTGGTGCACTCCTTTAGTCCCAGCACTTGGGAGGCAGAGGCAGGCAGATCTCTGTGCGTTCAAGGCCAGCCTGGCCTACAGAGCAAATTCCATGACAGGCTCCAAACAGAGAAACCCTGTCTCGAAAAACAAATAACAAAACCAACACCAACGACCCAAGATGTAGCTCAGTGGCACATGCTTTTAGCAAGCAAGAGGTCCTGGGGAATCCCTTATCACCAATTAACCAAAACAGCAGTAATAGACAGACACGGTAGCATAAAAGGCATGGTACTGGGTTTTGGTATGGAAAGCCCCTATCCACTGTTTCCTAAACAGGGTCCTAAACTGTATCAGTGGGAAATCAAGCTGATCGAATACAAACAAGTGAGGCTGTATGTATGCAATGCTCTCTGCTCTGGACTGTGGATCTGACAGGATAAGCAGTCTGCAGCTCCTGCCTTGACTTTTCCATAATGATGGAACCTGAATTATGAAATAAACCCTTTCTCCACTAAACTGCTTTCTGATGGGGTATTTTGTCACAGCAAGGGAATGAAATTAGAACACGTAGCAAGGCCAGAACCCTTCATATAGGAAACTCTGCTGGCACCATGTGCTTTACCATCTCCTCCTTCCCACCACTGACCATGGGCCCAGGATCTTCAAAGTCTCAACCATGTCAGCCCCCTTTTTCCATCAGCTAGCTCTCACCTCTGTGGTCAATGTCATCAGTGTCACTCTCAGCTTCCTCATCCTCTTCATCCAAGGTTCCCCGAGTCAGGATCAAGTCAGAAGGGTTCAGCACAGGAGACAGACTGTCTGAGGTTAAAACACAATGAGTACAGATGTGTCCTCAAAGAACTGATTCTGAGTAATTATGATTAGCCGCTGGCAGCAGACGTGCAGGAGAACTGCACCTGTCAATTCTACCAGAGTTTAGTTCACAAAACAATTTCAGGAGCCCCCTTATTTCCACTGAGAAAAACAGAAGAAATGTATCCCTGAAACACCAGCACTCTACTTCACTAACTCACAAACTGGAAGAAGCTATGCTTTTCCTGATGAAAGATAAAGAAATATAAGGCTGCACACTGGCAACTGTTTAAACACCGTAGAAGCTTCTAAGTGGGATACACGTTCAGGGGAGGTCTGAAGAAAACACAGGGTGAAATGATACAGAATAGAGCAGCGATGGCAAACTTCAAGCAGTGGAAGAGGAGGTAAAAACGGGAAATTAAATATACTGCTAGAGGTAAAGTTCCCTACTTGGTGAATAAAGACTAAGCCCTAAGAATGAGAAAAGTCTGATCCAAAAATTCCTGCCAGACTCAGTGAGACCTAAACCTACAGGACAGTGTGACTACTGTTCAAGAGACTCTCAGGCTATGCTCAGCTGGGGAAGGGAGTAAGGCGAGCTGAAGGCAGTAACAGGGAGGGAAACAGACAGCAGTGGCCAACCAGGCATGGTGGCACATGCCTTTAATCCCAGCACTCGGGAGGCAGAGGCAAGAGCTCTCTATGAGCTCCAGGCCAGCCTGGTCTACATAGTGAGGTCCAGGACAGCCAGATCTGTATAGTAAGACCTTGTCTTGGGGTAAAAAGAAAATCTCAAGGGCCAATGATCCTATACAACAATGATGACAGAATATTCGAACGTTGAATGCTTCCTTCCACACCCAACTAAGAATCACCCAGATATATACTAGGGATTTTTGTCAAATCATCCATGGAAACTCCTCTCTTTTCAGGGACCTGTGACTCTGAAGGATCTTGTGTGTGTGTGTGTGTGTGTGTGTGTGTGTGTGTGTGAGTGTGTGTGTGTGTGTGTGTGTACACAAGGTGGTGAAGATATCAAGATTGGCACAGAAGCGTTCATGTCACTGGATACTCAGGCAGGTTCCCACTCTACTATTCTCTGATGAACATAAGTGAACAAAAGACACAAACAGAAGCTTCTTTCCTTTAGTAAGGTATCTGTGGAAAAAATGTTGCTATATGAAGAAAAAGAACTCAAGTATATAATTTATACACAATAAATAAATATATAAAGTGGAACTTATTATATATTAAAAAAATAAAGTTCATCTACTTGGTTTCTGGGTCCCACCGAATTGCAACAAATTTTTACCCTACTTTTTATGGGCAGTTTATCATCTTGCCTCTCGAGAGGCAAAAAATCCCATATATATATATATATAAGACTTATAAACAATATATATATTAGACATTACTTTTATGTGTATGAATGTTTTGCATACATGTATGTTTATGAACCACATGTAAGTCTGGTGCCCATGGAGGTAAAAGAGAGTGCTAGAGCCCCTGGAACTAGAGTGGGTGGCTATGAACCATCATGTGGGTGCTGGGAATTAAACCCAGGTTCTCTACAAGAGTAGTAAGTGCTCTTAATTGCCAAGCCATCTCTGCAGTCCCAGGAAGTATGTATTATTTAATATGAGTACATCCTAGACACTCCCCTTTGAGGGTCAATGATCGAAATCACAAAGAAGGAAAGAAATGGGCATAAGGGAGGAAAAGGCAAAGAAAAGAGGGAAGGACAAAGAGTAAGGTAGGAGGATAAAGGACTAGAATACAAAACACAACACAAACCCATACCCATGAGAACACCAAGCTGGATAAAGAAGATAAAAATCCATTGTATAATGTAACAAGAAATATGCAAAAAGTATTCAGGATAACATTCCAGAAAGGCACAAGACCTGCCAAATACAAAAATTCTTCCTGCTCTTGAGGAGGAAGAGGTAAGATCAGCCATGTCAGTTCTTCCTGAACTGCTTAAGTAGCACACAGTATCCTCAGCACCAATGCCAAAGCTATCTAGGAAGCCAGAGGAGCTGATGGGAAGCACACGTGCAAAAGCAAACGTGAGAATAGCCAGAGAGAGGAAACAGTACAGGGACACCAGCCTGAGCTGACACTGAAGCGTTCTGTCATTAAAGCATGTGCAGGCATTACAGGAAACAAATAGCAGAGTAAACACAAGTCCTGGGCCAGCCAGACTGCTCAGTGGATAGGGCTCTCGATCCCAAACCTGATGAGCTAAGTCTGCTCTGAAGGGAAGCTGCCACACCTAAGTAAGACCCTGTATTAGACAATAGTGTGTCCATGCTAACTCCTCATTTTTCCTAACTATACTGAGGTTTTTGTTTTGGATTTTTGTTTGTTTGTTTGTTTGGGGTTTTTTGAAGTTGTTGTTTTGGAGCTTTTTGGGGTGTTTTTTGGTTTTGTTTTTTGTTTTGTTTTGGTTTTTGGTTTTTCAAGAGGTTTGGAGACAGGGTTTCTCTGTGTAGCCCTGGCTGTCCTGGAACTCACTCTGAGGACTGGGCTGACCCCAAACTCAGAGATGCACCGGCCTCTGCCTCCCGAGTGCTGTGATTAAAGGCATGCACCACAAACTAGGCTGTACTGAGGTTCTATAATAATATCTTTATTTTTAGAATGTATACAAAGGATTGAAAATAAGAGAGCATCATATTTGCATGAGTTTTACATAATATCTGTAATTCAGTTATAACACACTGTAAAAAAAAAAAAAATAGTACCTTGCTATAGTACAAAACTTCCAAAAGAAACTCAGAGCAGCATAAAGTGTGCACCATCTGTCGCAGGTCAGTTACGCAGATCCATGTATGAACGTTTCCTCACCTCCCCTATATGTTCTTCCTCATTTATACATATATTACTGTACAGGGCATTCACCCTCCATTCTCTCCTAGTGCCAAGAGCCCTTCCAATACCTTTGCTGGTCCCTGGGTCCAGGGCTACAGAGCCCATATCCTTCCGAAGGCGCTCCAGTTGCTCCTTCTGCTGATCACTCTGGGCACTGGCCTACAGACAGGGGAAATGTCCTCATGTTAAACTAGGAGATCCCGGGCTCGTGAGATGGTTCAGTGGTTGCAGCCATGCCTGACAAACTAAATCCCACTGGTGGAGAACATGTGATAGAAGAGAACCAACTCCTGCAAGCCGTCCTTTGACCTTCACATGTATTCTCCCAACACAAATTTAAAAGACTGTTAAAAAAAAAAAAAAATCTCTGGAGCAAGGCTTCTAACTGAGAGGCTGAATGCTTGGCAGATATGAAGCACTGGTTCAATCTCCAGCAAAAAGGAATGAATGAATGAATGAATGAATGAATGAATGAATGAATGAGCAAAATAATAAAGATGCATAAATTAGATGCCAGTTCTTTGTTTGTTTGTTTTAAGATAGGGTCTCACATAGTGTAGGACACCCCCAAACTTACTATGTCACCATGGATGACCCTGAACTTAAAAGAGTCCACCACCATGCTTGGCTATTGCTGAATAACAAGCCCAAGGTTTTGTGCATGCTAAGCAGACACTCAACCAACTGAGCTAAGTCCCCAGTCCCAGGATGCTACCCTTTAAAGACAAGATTAGGAATTACAAAAATACTAGAGGCTGGTAGAGGATGACATATGGAGACAAAACCAGTGAGTCATGTGTGCCCAAGTGACAGCAGATTTCCAGTCGTATGCTGAATGAAAACCCAAAACTATGAGCAAAGAACCCTCAAGTGCAGCTTGCAAGAAGGCCCCAATGCAGGCTCTGACATGGGAGAGCCTCAATTTATCATTTGGAACAAGAACTGTCAGACACCTCTCTAACCTTCAAAATCATACAAGCCTTTAAGTTGACCTCAGAGACTGGGTGAGGAGGGGCATAAAAAGGTCTTGGTAAATATATCTCAGTAAAATTCTGACATTTTAAAAATTCAGATACAAAACCTGTGTGGCAGCTCATGCCTATAAATCCAGCACTCAGAAGGATGAGGCAAAAGAAAAGAGGATAAATATTCAAATATGAGGAGAGGAAAAATGTCAGGAGGCCTTTCTGCATACAGACAACACACACAGATTTACTCTGCCTGCAGTCCCACATGCTCAAGTGGCTGAGGTAAGAGATCACTAGAGCCCCAGAGTTTTAGACCAGCCTGGGTAGAGTGAGACCTCAACTCAAAACCAAACAGGGCTGGGCACATAATTCAGTGTATAGAACACTACCAAAAATGAAGAAACAAAAATATGCAAGAATTTAAAAGAAACACGGAAACATTAGCCAGTTATATCTCGATAAAGCCAGAAAAAAAAATTAAAATACAAGCCAGGCAGTGGTGACACACGCCTTTATTCCCAGATCTTGGAAGGCAGAGGCAGGCAGATCTCTGAGCTCCAGGACAGCCAGGGCTACACAGAGAAACCCTGTCTCAAAAAACCTTCTTTGCTTCTCATCCCTACTTCCCGAATGCTCATCAGAGCACAGGCCAGCAGACTAGCTGGTCCCCTACCAGTCTCTGGTGACTGGCTGGGACTACAGGCCCGTGCTTGTGTGGGTCAGATGGACTCTCTGGCAGCTCTAACACACTCTCCCTCTTACCAGTGATTTCTTCAGGCGCTCGTATTCCGGCCGATATTCCCTGGAGAAAGAAATGCCTTCTAAGTACCTCTCCTGGACAACACACCCTGCCCACCCGGACCTATAGCTTGCTTGCTTAAAACCACCAGCAACATGATCTAACCTCTCACTGGAGTCCCTGCACACCACTGGCATCACTAGTCTGCCCTGTGGAACCCAACAACTCCTGATGGCTGTTGTAAACACTAACAATGAAGACACCACATATGAGAAGCTGAGGGGCTCGTCACTGTCACTATTGCTCAGGAAGTCCAATGTCTAAGGAACTCACACAAAAACCCTTGATGGTTAATCAGTGGGAAAATGTTGCCTGGCAACCACAATGCCATTCATAGGGTCAAACTACTAAGCTAAAGCAGCATGTTAACAAGCAGCCCATGAGGCCATGGTCCAAGTGCTACAGGTGCTCTCCTTTAGGTGAATGGGATCCCACTGTCAGCAGTGACAACAGTTGTAACAGACATTTATCAAGTGTCTCTATGATGTGTCAATAACTGTGCTACAACTTTGCATATACTTCTTCAAATAATACAGCGACCTCAGTGCCAGATCTACACCATGCCTGTTTCTGCAGGGGATGTCTTACAGGGACATAACTACCATCTTTTGTTTCTGAACTATCTACAGGTCTTTTGTCCTACAATGACAGACATGAGAAGTTGCCCACAAAGTCTGTAATATCTATCCAGTAGCTCTTTTCAGTACACTTGATGGTCCCGCCTGGTAACCACTCAGACCAGTGAACACTGTATACTTCTATCTTTTTTTTTTCATTTGGAAAGTTTTATTGAGGGGGAGGTAAGAAAACAAGGTAAAAAGACACAGAGACAGAGAAAGGACAGAAGAGAAGGGGGAGGGGAGACACGAAAAGTCCTGTCTGTCCCAGGGGAACAGTGGAGAAAGAGCTACTTCTATCTTTTTTAAGGAAGGGCACAGACACTTGTTACTCCTGAGTGTGGTCAGATCTAATATACACATGCAAGTAAATATACTTTACAGGGAAGATGTAAATGCAAACGACTACCATATGAGAATGGCGGGTAATAAAGAACGCATCAACAGGCTTTCCTTCATCCTCACCTTTCATACTCTTCTGCAGCACTGGTGACTTGAACACAGAGTTCATCGAAGCCGGTGCCCACCACAGCAGAGACACCCACCACCTGCAAAGAAGCAGCATGAATTTGCTTGCTGGACAAGTCTCTGCTACCGAGCAGCCGCCCAGCCCGTGAACTACCTTCACTAAGCAACACAACAGAATGTAAAGCATTTGCTTCCAATGCTGGTTAAAAGCCAGTTAAGGCAATGGCAAGACATTATCCACAGCTACTATCACTATGATAGGAGATAAAATTTACCCTGAGTGAGCTGTAGAACTCATCTAGCACCAGGCTCATGGAACGAGTCAGGTTACTGACATAGGTAGTCTCTTGGTTCAAGGCATCTTGGAAAGCCTCAAAATCTTGCATCCACTCCACCGCAAAGCTGTGGTCAATGATGTCGGTCTGTGCCAGAAAGAAGGCAGTCATCAGCAACCTGAATCAAGGTCACAACTAAACCAAGGCAAAAAATCATTTAAGTGGTGACAGCAAAGAACTCATCATCACAGAGTTTCTTTCTTTGGCTCCCCTGTTCCCAGCCCCACTACAACAAACTGTAAATAGATCTGCCTTGGTTTGATCAGTATTTCCAGTAGAGTTCCTGTACTGACACAGAATCCCTGATGCTGAAGAACCAGTGACACACACTGGTTAATGGTTACTCTGTCTGCCCTACAATCACTGGGAGAGAGAAGGCACTAAACACAGATGCCACCCACTCCATCTGGTGGCATCCACTTCCCTGATGTGTCTGTGACTTTCCGTAGTAAAATCTTAATGTGCTGACAAACCTGAAATCACTCCTCACACCTCAGTCAAGGCTCTGTGTTAAGAAATGTTGAAATCACCAAGGAAGGGCCACTTACTTTGTTCATGACAACAATGAAAGGCAGCTTGGTTTTGTACAAGATGCTGGAAAAAAACAATCAAACATGGAGATTATTATTAAAAGTATTTAGGCCAGGCATAATGTCACATGCTTATAATTCCAGCATTCAGAAGGCAGAGGCAGAAAGTTCATGAGTTCAAGGCCAGTCAGGGCATATAGTGAGTTTGTTTCCAAAAACAACTAAAAGCATTCAAGCCCTTAGGACTAAATAAAGAGAAAGGAAAACCATCAAACTGAATTATAAATGGTATTCAGTCTCTTCTCCCAAAGGAAAATAAATGACCACCAATATCAAATCAGCAGCTGATCCCCAACATATACCATGTGTTGATATTGATCCTTTTTAATATTTTATCAAACAATTCTCTTTGTTATCCAGAGGGAATGAGCATTTATTGAATCCCCTAAATAGTATGGTTACACTGGTAGACACTTTCACATGTATATAATTATCTCCTTTAATCCATACAAATGCCATATAAATGTGTCAGAGCCAGCCTTGGCGACCCCCCATGCCTAGCTAGCCGCCAGATAGTCTAGCATCCCACCCCTCAGGTTCCAGGACCTGGCCTGAGAAGCAACTAACACCTATTCCTTCCCCCACTTCCTTAACACAGGAGATTCTGGATACCTGCCTGAGAGCAATTAACATTCGTTCCTCCCCCCACCTCCTTTTTCTCTGCTTCCTCCTTTCTCTTTAAAAAGCCCCTTGGTTTCAATAAAGTTGTCCTTGACAAGGAAATCTGCTTGGTCCCGCTTTTTCTTTCCCGCCCATTATTTTCAGGCGGATCCACCTTGGACTCACAAATTACCGGAGCCCCGAGGGATGGGGCATAAATGTATATAATTTTTGCTTTGTTTTTAAGACAAGGTCTCATTCTGAAGCCTACACTACTAGCCTAGAATTTATTAGTCTGTAGTCCAGGCTAGCCTTGAATTTATAGCAATTCTCCTGCCTCAGCCTCCAAAAATACTATCCTAGAGGCTGAACATTTCCCACATTTACCAAGGCAGATGAACAAGATTAAATTATATACACTTAAGGTATACATCATGAATTGTTTTTAAAGTTGATCTTCCCTTGCCTTTTATTAAGTTAGTGTCTGCAGGCCTGGTAGCTGACCCAGGCCTCCAACGTGAGAGGCACACCCTCTCCTGCTGAGCTGTGTCCCCAGTCCTCTGACATTTTGAGCTATAAACACACTGTGAAATGACTACCACACTCAGAAGAGTCACGTAGCTGGGCTTCACTCATCCTCTCATACAGGTGATAGCTCTTGTCCATTCCCCAGTTAAACTGTCAGTTTCCACAACACTCATGTTCAATTTCAGTCACATGGTTCAGTCAGTGAACCATGAAGCATCTTTTTTCTTCCAATGTAACATTCGGGATAAACTAGTACATGTTTGGATTATATTGTTCTTAATGCCATGGCAGGGTCTTTCTCCACAGTCTATATGGTCTTGAATTTACCCTCCTTTGGCAAAACTTCTCATTCCTAGTGTCTCCTCATGTTACAATTTTACATTACTTATACAAAACCTAAGGACCATTTACACCAGAGAACTCTATTCTGTCCAGACTTGGATCTCACCCATCTGGGAATAATTACCATCTATTTCTCTGACAGGCAAGGGAGGAAGACGCTGAGAGAAAATGCCAATAGTACATGTCTCTCTTTACAAGACAATCAACTGAGTAGCAAATACAGATGATCACAAATCTAGGGGTGATAACCAGGACTCAAAACCAAAAGGGGAACAAAGTCAGCTGAAGAGATGGCTTAGCAGTCAAGAGCACTCACTGCTTCTACAGAGGCCCCAGGTTCAGTTCCCAGCACCTACATGGTAGGTCATAACTACCTGAAACTCGTGTTTGAAGAGATCTGAGCACCCCCTCTAGCCTTCACAAGCTCCTGCACACACGTGGTACACATACATTCATACAGGTCCACACACATACAAATAAGTAAATGTCTTTAAAAACAATAAAAAGGGGAAAGAGAAGAGCCTCACAGCTGACAGAACATCACACCTACCACCCATCAGTTACCTGCAAGCATATAGCATATTGGACATGAAGGTTACTGGGTTAGTACTTCGTGATGTGTCCATTACATAGATGACCACTGTTGGAAATGAGGATGCCTAGAACCACAGAATGAGTAAAGTTTTAATCAGAGGGCTCACCACCTGCTCCCACACTTTTTCCCTCACTTTCTTGCAAGAGAGAACCACACTGTGCAGAGTGTGCAGAGTCTCTTCCTCTCCCATTCAGGCCCCGGCAGTAAACAGAGGCTAAGCTGACCCTCCAGATGCGCTCATGAACAAGACCCAGAACACTCACCAGGGCCTCAGTGATGATTGTCCCAGAAGCTGACCAGGTGAACACTTCAATCTGTCCGGGTGTGTCAATCAGGACATATCTGGGTCAAGGAGTGTAAAGTAAAGGGGTGTTATACTTGGGCAGTTCTGAAGATATCCCATCACAGAGAGTGCTCAATGTCCACTCATTCAAGAGTGCAATAACCTCTGCACACTGCCAAACAGTCCTACCATGCCCTAAAGCTGCATATTCTCAAAAGCTTGTTCCAGGTCCAATATTCATGCTCATGAGAAGAAACAGCACAGCACAAGCTGTTGCCAATAATCAAAGAGGAAACTGTGATTAGTACAGAAACATCCCTATCAATGAGACATGAGAAAAACCAGGATGCAACTCACTTGGGAAACATCCTGTTTCTTAGCGACAAGGATTCGGAGTGAGGGAAGGAGGAGGCATGGAGTAATGGAGGAATACTGCCTACAGAATATTCTAAAATTGACTGCAGTGATAGCTGCACAATCCTGTGGATGTAATAGAAGACAATGATTTGTGCACTGGGATGGCATGTAAATTGTATCTTAATATACTTATTTAATAGTAGTTAATGGTGAGAAATGATGAAATGATGTCTTCCCCATCATGGTAGACTGTGCTCCCTCAAACAACGAGAAAGTCCTCGTCCCTTAATCTGAGAGAGGAGAAAAAAGTTAAGTGTTTCTCCAAAAGTCATGTAGAAAGGAAGAGAAGTGTTGGGGGATGGGGGTCACAATAATTGGGAGTATTCCTCTGTATTATATGTCATCTCAATGATTTTATTGTCACCTTTCTTTGTTTCATTTCTAATGACTTGTCTCAGTTAACACAGTTAACAAAGGTCTCCAAATCCTCTCAAAAGTCTAGAAATGTATCAACAACAGGCAATAAGTAAACAGTCAGCTGAAACCACCTACTTGAATGTGTTCTGGGCCTTCTCGATAAACTTCATCACCTGGAAGAAAAAGATGTCAATTACAACACAATCTAACTCCAACACAACACAAGAGGTCACCCTCCATGGTGGCATGTGTCAAACACACCATCACAAAACACCACCAAGGACACCAAGCAATGGACTCCTTGATGCAAGGAAGCAGAACCACAGCAGGAGCGCTGCAAGTTGGGCACAGTGTCAAGCCCTGTCCTGACCTGTCACTGTGATGTCAGGGTCCCGTGGCACATGGGCCACAATGGTTTGTTTTAAACAGCCAGAGTCAGGTTGTGTTATCCAGGTATACTGTGGACTCCAGCCCTTTGTGATTCTCCTATTTCAGCCTCATACAAGCCATCCTGCCTGGCTTTAGTCAAATGTTAATGTCTCAAGTAGCAGAACCAGTGTAAAAAATAATGATTATAAGCTGCTCTCATGGGAGTGACAGAGAAAATCTAGAGGATGGCAAATACTTGTTACAAGAAAAAATGTCACCATCCCTTGATGTAGCTAATCACAGTGCCCTGTACCCTTAATAATAACATCATAGGCCAGAGAAAGAATCCAGGTCTGTAAAAGAGTTCTTAATTGGTCTAGACAATAAAAGGTGAATTCCTTTTACATAGGTCTCTTGGGTTTTTGTTTTGTTCTCTCACAAACAATAAATGAGAAGCATTCCACCACATCCAGAAGCTATATCTCTGTCTACCAAAATGCCTGCTTAGTTTCGGTATTTCTCCATTTTTTCTACTCATCTTTACCAATGTGATCAAGCGAGAACACATTAAAAGGCAGATTTTTACAGTGCCATGCCTATCAATGTAAAAGAAGTCTTACCTGATCAAATCTGGTAGCAAAGAGATTGAGTGAGGTCACTATGCCACCATTTGGCCCGAGTCCATATCTGAGCACTCAGTTAAGGATTTAAATTGCACATATGAGATTATATAGTTCATACCTAGATTGTCATTCATACAACAGTATTATGTTCAGTATTAACACTACATTCAGTATGTAACAGTATTAGTGTTCAATTAATGGGTCCTGGCAACCCAGCCTTGGACATAGAATCTTAGTGCTACAAGAATCATTTACTAGCAAGGTCCTCTTTGTTCATCATTTTAGGGATGGTCATACAAGATAAAGACAAGAGAATGACCAAAATTTAGTGAATACACACATGTGTCAAACAGTGACAGGCTGCTGGCATCAGTTATTAATATTATCTATGCAGCCAGGCATGGTAGCTCAACACCTTGAATCCCAGCATTCAGGAAGCAGACGCAGGCAAATCTCTGTGATTCTCAGGCCAGCCAGGGCTACATGTCACACTCTTTACTCTGATCCTCACTAACCAAGTAACCTTAAGTTACTTACAGAGAGCCACATGTCATGCTTAACTCAGTCCATAAGAATTAATCCAACTCAACATATTTTCCTGAGTTTCCTGATCAAATTCATAGCTAAAAAATGACTATCTCACCCAAGGCAACATCACTTCACTAGAACCAGGCAGTTAACAGCTGACTACTCATCTGCTGATCTCTAATTATAACACCTGTAGTCTGAAACTGAATTCAAACGGTAGGGTAGTATTGCTGGAAATCTCCAATCTCTCCTACATTCATCTCATTCATCCTACATCTTTTTAATACAATTACTTAAAAGGAAGTAAGTTTTCTACTTGTATATTTCACAATTTGACACAAAAACCACTCCCTCAAAGTGGGGAGCAATTCTCCAGGAACGAGTCAATCCCACAGCAGATGAGGGAAATGATACTGTTTCATGACTTCTTTATACTTCACTGTGTCACGGATATCTGAGGGGAAATGAGAGATAATGGTTTATTTTAGTTTTTGAGGCATGGTCTCAGTTGTCCGGACTAGCTTTGAACTTTCCATGTAGCCCAAACTGTCCTCAAACTCTGAGCAGTTCTCCTGCCTCAGCCTCCTGAGTACTAAGGTTGCAGAAGTGCCACCATAACTGACTTACGCCTCTTACCAGCATTTTCTTATACCTTTCTCCACTTACAATGGCTTCCTTCCTGACTAAAGATAACCATTGATTATCCAATGAAGAATGTTAGGCTCCTGGGTGTAATAGTACACACTTTTAATCCCAGCACTCAAGAGGCAGAGGCAAAGTCAAGCAGACCTGTGTGGGTGAGACCAACCTGGTCTACAAAGTGAGTTCCAAGACAACCTGAACTACATAGAGAGACCCCATCTCAAACAAACAAAAAAGTTAGGTTAGAAAGTTTTAATTGTGATAGTGTCTAAAACAAGACTGAAAGTTTTAGACAATTTTAATGGTACTGGGCACATACACAGGGGAAGAAACAACAAAACAAACTAAAACCAAGAAAAGACTTCTTATTAACCACTGCCTGGAAATAAAGACAACTCAAAGACATAGGAAAAATAAACCTATCCCCCTATCCACTAGGGGCTGGAGAGATGGCTCAGTGATTAAGAGCACTTTGCAGAAGACCCAGATTCAGTTCCCAGAACCTACAGGGCAGCTCACAAATGTCTGTAAGTCGGGTTCCAGAGGTTCTTGCACCCTCTTCTGGCCTCTGAAGGAACCAGACACATATCATGGTGCACAGACATGCATAAAATAAAAATAAATAGGAAGGAACCTACCCACCAATCTGGAGATAAATATTACAATTTTATCCTCGAGTTTGGATGGGAAACTTTATGTCAATCTTCCCCAAATGATCTATGATTCTTCAGACAAGACCTCCCCTATCCTCCACCTTAATTTGTGTATTTGGGTTATAAGAAGCTTACCAGGATTAACAAGTGACACTTATGGCCTGTGAATCAGGAAGCCTGAACCCAGCAAGAACCCTGTCACCCTGTCACAAGATCACATGAACTTTCTTAATGAATCTACCCCTCACCCATTTTTTCTTTCTTTAAAAAAAAAAAAAAAAAAAAAAAAACCAAGAAGGGTTTGGCTATTTGGTTCTATATTCTGCCTCAGACTCCCTTGGATAACACCCATACTGAATCTTTCTGGTAGTTTCAGTCAGAAACTCTCCTCAGGGGGCTGGAGAGATAGCTCAGAGGTTAAGAGCACTGACTGCTCTTCCAGAAGTCCTGAATTCAATTCCCAGCAACCACATGGTGGCTCACAACCATCTATAATAAGATCTGGTGCCCTCTTCTGGCCTGCAGGCATACATGCAAGCAGAACATTGTATACATAATAAATTAAAAAAAAAAAA